TGTATAGGGCAGGCTAGGCCCCGCCTAGCAGGAGGCGTCACTGAGGTAGGAGCCACGTGCTGCAGGACAAGCCTGGGGGCCAGCCTACCTCCTGGGGCACCGCCCACACCGACACCCACACCAGCCCCGCCTGCACACACGCCCTCACACACGCCCGTCCTGGCCATACCTCACCTTGCACCTGAGTGTGTGTGTACTCATAAGTGTTGTGAGAGTGTGTTGGGCGGGGCGGTGGGCGGTGTTGGTAGGCCCACCTGGTGTCTCTAGATGCTCCATGCCACTGTCCCCGCCCTCACCCGCCCACCCCCGCCTATCACATGCTGCCCGACCCACCCACTACTTCCTGACACCGCCCAGGACAACCCTCACGCCCGTATATCACAGAGCACACCGCCCTCCCCACACACCACCCAGGACTACCTTATACTAGGGATAACTTCGCTACACCTCACTTAGGTTGACCATGACACTACTATCACAGGACACCTCTACAAACAGGACCAACGAGGCGGCCACGTTACTCACAGAACAACTATATAATATTCTTTGACAGTATCTTCACCTGTCAGAACAAATAGAGCCTAAATTTATCACACAAGACAATGTCATCGCTATCCACGCTTGCCAGGGCGTTAATACACTAAACAGTGCAACTTTATTTATACAAAAAGGACAATCAGGGTCAATCAAGGACCCCAATGGAAATAAGTCACTTTTTACTTTTTTTTGGGTTATCCTGGTGGATAATTTACAATGTGTGATAATTGTACTTATGTGTACCTGTGCCTAAATAAACTAAGGACTGCCATATATAACTAAACAACTTCCCTTATACTGTCCATAATAACCTCTGCGTCCTTTGCAGTGCTGAATGGCCTTCCACACAGGTTCAGCGATTTCCATGAATCTTAACAGTCCTCTTCCGCTCTGAACAGTCTGGAGTGTGCTTTGTCCCGCTGATTTATTTTGTCCTGCTAATCTACATTGTCTTTGGTCTTCCCATGATGTCCTGTGTCGTTAGAATGCCTAATATGTACGGTCTTGTGTTTGCCATGATGCTGCATGTTGCCTTACCCGGAAATTAGTCACTGTTTGGCTTTATTTGGCTATTAACTTTTCGAGGTTAATCCAGTATTTTCAGACCTGAAAAACCGTTCACGTTGTCATGGGACTATTGATAATTGTCATGCTTTGATAATTGCTTTGCCTTGGGACTTCCGATAATTGCTTTGCCTTGGAATTGTCATGAAAAATACGTTGAGTAGGGTTTGTCTGATAATCTTTGTGGGTGTAGTCTTTGTAGTTGTTTTGAACTAACAGTGTACGTTGTTTTACCTTTATAATAAGTATACTAATGAAGTAATATGAACTGGTAAAGAGCGTATGCTACAAGGAACAGTTTATCAGTAACATGAAAGCAGGAGCTCACATCCAACAATTGAATACAGTATGGAAACAATAATGGTATGCAATACCGACAAGTTGATAGATAAGACACATGTGCAACTCCTGATATCATTCTTTGGAAGACGTTTTTGAAATCAGTTGCTTTCTTAATTCAATACAGAGGTTAATTGAAGGCTTTGAAACTGGAAACGAGTCATTACTGTAAGTAGAATCTGAGATTCATTAAGACTGTGGTGGTGAACACCATCTAGGCTGAGGGACTGATTACCTCGTATTGAATTAATCTCTGTATTGAACTGATAAAGCCACTGGTTGGCAAAGCGTCTCCAGAGTGAAGATGCCCAGGTGTTACACATGCGTTTTGAACACAGTATGCCTGTTAGTGCCTTGAATTGCCCAGGACATCAGTACAGTGGATTATATATCACCAGGACTGGATAGCAAAAAGTCAAAGCCTGTGGCTGGAGCAATTTGCAACAAAATCACTAATTGGAAAAAGGAAATTAGAAGAGGTTTTGATTTGTCTTAAATCGAAACTTGTTTTCTTTATTTCCAGTTTGTGGGTTAGTTGTAAACCAGGATTGGGTTAAACAGGATCATTACAGCAGATTGTACAGCATCAGTACAGTGATTTATACAGCATCAATCCAGGTTTGCACAGCATCAGCGAAGTGAATTGTGGATTATCAGTAAAGTGGATTGTACAGCATCATTTCTGGATTATAAAGCGTCTTTACAATGTGTTGTAAAGCATCACTACAATGAATTATACAACTTTGGAGAATTGGCCTGTAAATCAATCCAATGGATTGTACATCAGTCCAATAGGTTGTACAGTATCAGTCCAGTGGAGTGCACCGCCCCCGTACAATAGATTCACAGCATCAGTATTGTGGATTACATCAGAACTGGATTACACAGCATCATTACAATCGATTTTACAATATCTGTACATTGGATTCCAGAACCAGAGCAGTAGATAAGAAGATAAAAAAGTAGGATTTTATAACATTATTACAATGGATTAAATAGCGTCTGGACAGTGTATTACACATGAACAGAACAGTGAATTACCTGGATCAGAACAGTGGATTGCTAAGCATCAGTACAGTGGATTATACGGCATCAGAACGGTGAATTACAAAACATCAGTAGCTTGGATTACACAGCATCAGTGCAGTTAATTACTCTGCATCAGTACAGTGAACTATACAGCATTAGTACAATGGATCACATCAGTACAGTGGACTGGACAGCATCAGTAGTTGGTTACACAGCAGTGCAGTGACTTAGCATTATTACAGTGGATTACACTGCATCAGTACAATGGCTTACACAGCATCAGTAGAGTGGCTTATACAGCATCAGTAGTCTTCATGTAGATTGCGAGCAGTTTCTTCAAAAAAAAAAAAATGAACGTGACATCTATACTCAGGTTGTATTGTTGTTGTTTTATTTAAATTGAAAATGTATTTAATTTTTGCATATAGCTGTTGATATTTTGATTTAATCAATAACTTATGTATTGTTCTGGTTGGCGACAGGACACTTGAGCAGGAACTAGAGGCTGTTGTCACTGCCTGCTGTAGCGGGGCTACACTGCCAAGCGTACACTATGTCTTCTTGGAGACAGTGTGTGTGGATCGAGGACTTTACTGGTGTAAGAATTAATGGCGTTTATGCATATTTCATTGCTACAGAGTTAAGATTGCTTTGTGGCGATTTTTTACACAAATGCCTTCATTATAAAGTTGTCTAGAAGTAAAGACATCACAGCGAATATTGGCACCTTAAACCACATTTGCTTCACCACACTCTTTCACGCCCATCATTCCTGTTTTACTAACCCATTCACATCTACGACTCTGATTAGGTTATAGTAACTAATGTTAATGACTTAGGCTGACGGAGAATCGAGCCTCTACCACTTCTTGCGCTGAATAAAACTATGCAGGAAGTTAAAATATGAGATTCAGAATGTTTGATATAGTAAATCATACACGAGGGACTACAAAACTGCAGTATTCCATGTGCATAAGAACACCGCTGTCTTTATTTCCATAAAGCTTATTCCTGAATGATATTTTTTGTCATTTTTAATGGTTTACCAGTAATAAAATGGACAGTAATAATGGTAACGAAGCATAATAATTATATGGGTTGCAAAACTATTACTATGCCCATACTAATAAAATTATATATTTCCCTTACTCCAAAGCATTGCTGTAGTAATATGATTCGTTCCCAATACCATAAAAGCTATGATTGAATTAGGTAAATGAAAGATATGCAGAAATATCTTATGAAGGGGAAACTCCCAATATTATATTAAAGTTGAATAAATATATGATAGATATACAAAGTTTATTGACTAAACTATACACTAGAACGCCATGCTAGGCGTTCTAGTGGTACACTCTGTAATCATTATTTAACTACGTGTAAACCACACAATAACCAAATTCTGTAAATTCAACATTGTAATCCTTATATTATTATTATTATTATAATCAAGGGGGAAGCGCTAAACCCGGAGGATTATACAGCGCCTGGGGGGGGGGGGATGTGGAAGGCATTCAGGCTTAATTCGGGGAACTGGGCACAGATACAATTCCCTAAATCAAGAGCCCCTCACCAACATCAAGGAACCTTCCTTGAGGGGTGTAATCCTTATAGAGAATAAACTTTGAATTTGAATTGAATATAAGTATACAATATAGTATTACTTTGACAGTCAAATTGTAGGTTTAGCACTTTCTATAATAATAATAATGATGATGAAGATAAGTGGAAAAATTGACAAGTAGTATCACAAACAATGGAAGCTTTAAAATAGTGTTCTTTATGTGACGATTTTGTGGTTAATGGTAATTAGTAACCGAGCCACGTGTGTGAAGAAATGCACAGCTGTCTAAAATGATTTCTGTGTTCAGTAATTTCAGAAATATTATTATTTAACAAGAAAATTTTGCTTTATAATTAAAATAATGTAAAGAATAAGAGATAACGTGAGGGATCAGCTCTGTTCCCTGTGGCCCGAGGCAGTCAAAATTTCTCGCAGAGCCGTAAGCAGCTGAAGAGTGAGATCTCCCGGTAAATATTTACTGGAATGTATAAGTCGTAGTGTTTGGTTTGTGACTGGTTAGTGTGGAAAGCAATTTTGCTTAAGGTTTATTGTGCAGTTGATTTGTATAAATTTTAATGTTATTGTTCTAGGATTACATATACATGTAAATCATTTATAAGATAATTATTTGTTGGTTTCATTTTGATTAGACTTGTCTTGATAATTAAAATTACAAAACTTATTTTTTATCAGTTTTTTTTACACTGAAGATATTTTACTAAGAGTCATTAAATAATTATAGTTTGTGCTCTTAAAGAGTTCATCCGAAATAAGTTAGAATATAATTTAGTTCTAACAATCAAGTTGATTCCTGTAATCCCTCGACTGTGTAACAACATTCAAATCTTATTGGAATATTATTTTGTCATGTTCATGCCCTCTTAAATTTAAGTAAACAATGTGATTGGCAAATAATACACAGTTCCTTGATAATGTGAGAAATCACGAAAGCGATTGGAATTTCACTATTTTTCCACAGTGTTTGTTCTGTATATTGTGATATCACATGTTTACTGTGATCTTACTGCGACAGTGTGTGATAACTTATACATAAACTAAGTGATTGAGATACATGGTATATCAACTGATTGACTGGGATAAACAATAGTCAAACAAGGACCTGGGATAAAGGTTGCACAAAGTAACTGGGATAAAGAATACACAAGTGACGGATAAAGAATACACAAATGAGTGGGTTAAAGAATAAGCAAGTGACTGGTATAAAAGATACACAAAGGAACTGGGATAAAGATACACAGAGTGACTGGGATAAAGAATACACAAAGTAACGGATGAAGAATACACAAAGTAACTGGGATAAAGAATTCACAAAGTGACTGGGATAAAGAATACACAAAGTAACTGGGATAAAGAATACACAAAGTGACTGGGATAAAGAATAGACAAAGTGACTAGGATAAAGGATATGTGAACTGAGTGGCTGATAAAGGATATAAGAGATAATGGATATACTGTACTGAGTGACTGGATTAAATGATATACAGAGTGACTTAAAGGGTATACAGTAACTGGTATAAATCATCCACGATCCAAGAGACTGGATAATCGATACATAGCAGCAGAGGTAAAAAAAAAAAATACATGAAACAATTAGGATACTGGATATGCAACTTAAGTGACTGATGTATGGAATATAGATTATGTAATGGATAAATATGAAGACTGGAATCCTGGAAGTTGAGAATAGTTTGTGATGAAATGTTTTGCTTAGACCAGGCTAGCACATAGACGTAGCTCATTGTGTTTTGTACTTTTTTACAATGCTGCTTAAATTCTTTCTCCCAACATCTCATGTCAATACAGTTGTGTTTTATATTTATTTTTTATATTACATTGCTGATTTAATGTTCAGATTTTTGTTACTTAAAAAAAATCATTGCATATAAGAATCTTAACTTCAGACAACTTAATTTAACTTAGCATTCAAACCAACTAGTGTCAAGAACTGTAGTTGTAAGTTCTGGTTTTACTCAGCCTGAGATGCCTTGCAAAACTAGGAGCTTTTTCAAAATGTATGAAATAAATACTACCTATTTTTTGTAATAATTATGTACATTTTGAGACTCAACTTTATTTGTTATTATATTTTATTTGTTTTAGATGAGTAAATTTCAGTCACAGTGTTTAATGAAATGAATATAAAATTATACAGGACTTAAAAGGATGTAGAATTACAAATACAGTACTTTAAATGGATTTAACTTTGCAAAATAGTTCACAGCATTTTATTAAGTTAGCTCAGCAATTTATTATCTGGTGGAGGACTAAACTTCTTTTGTAATGCATAATAAGGTTGGATAAAATTAAGTTTACATTGGGTAAAGTAATTGCAGATTGTCAAACTTCATATCACCTAATGTTTTGAGTTGGTTTATAATATGTATAAATCATTTATTAAGATACTTAATGTATACCAGTAGCTATAGCAAATAATAACATTAGTGTGGCATGATTTTTTTTTTGTAGGGTAAGCAAATAACATTGTTAAGCTTTTCAGTTAAGCTGAAATAATAAGTATTTATTTTATTTATTCAAAATGGAAGTACATAGTAACAAAAATGATTTAACATACCATTTTAAACATGGTCCAGTGAAATTCTTGGTTTTCAATCGAAATGTTAAGTAATTTTGCTGTAAAATTCTGGCTCGCTGTGACGATTTTGCAACAGTTCTTTTTCAGGTGATGGAAGGAGGGGAATGTAAGCAAGGTAATGATTGAGTGAACGATGATGAAAGTTTCTTTTTCCAGGTCATCCTGCCTTGGTGGGAGAAGGCCAGTGTGTTAATAATAATATTATTATTATTAACATAATAGTAATACAATCTTTATTTCTACAAAGTACATGATACAAGTGATACAGACTTAGTGGACATTATTGGCATACTTTTTAGAAAGCCCTTGGTTATGCAGAGCATTTCCAACAGCCAGAGTTTATCTTGTCCCCCAAGGCCCTCAGTGTATGACCTGAGGATGCTATCAGCCAGACCATAAGCACTTACGTGAAGGGATATAGGGAAACTGGTTAGCTGAACTTGAGTCCTGGAGGTGGAAAGTACAGTTCTTGCACTCTGGAGGAGGAATGGGGATATTGCAGTTTGGGGGGGCATCTGAACTGTGTGTTGGTGAGCTTCTGACAAGGCAGTAATAGAGCAATGGCGAAAGCATTTCTTCTTTTTCGGGTCACCCTACCTTGGTGGGAGACGGTTGACGTATTATATAAAAAAGAATGTTTTGTACACTTTTTTTTTTTTTTTTACCTTGAGAATTTCTGGAGTAAGTTATAATTAATTTCAGTGCAGAGAAAATGCACCTTACAGATGCATTCATTGCTGGAACCATTAAAACTTTTTCACATGTAAGCCTTTTCCAAGTCTGTTTCATAAAACTCAAAATTTGTTAGTTTTGTCTTTGAATTATTCAGACTTGTAAACAACTCTAGTTGTGATTTCAGTGACAAAAAAATCAAAGAAATTGCCATAGTTATATTTTGTTGACTAAAAAGCAAGCTTTGGAAATTTTCTAAATCCACATAATGATTGAGAGTGTAAAAGCTCTTAAGAATTAGAATGAATTCAAATTTGAGAATATCAAATATTAACCTGGTTAGGTAGTGTGTTATATTTCTGTAGTGTTGCTCCTCTCAAGGAAGGCTCCATGGTGCTGGTGATGGGCTCTTGATCCAAGGAATTGGACATGACCTCCTCCTCCTCCTCCTTCCTTGGGAGTTCTTATTCAGCGCATATAATACAAGAAATATTGAAAATTGACTTAAAACCAAAAAATTAAAAGGCTTAAAAGGTTGCGTATTTTTATAATTTAAGTGCCAGTTTTGTGAATAGAAAAAAAGAAGGGAATTGCTACTAAATATTGTGTATCTGAGTTTAGTGAACACTCCTGTAATGTTATGTAGAAAAAGTGCATACATAAGATTAATTGATATGTAACAATATATTTAATTAATATTCTACTTGCAGGTGAGAGAGCACCAAGGGGCTCAGATCATCACTGCAAATGGCCAGACTTATTCAGTGATGCCCCAGGCTCAAATGCAAACAGTCACCATTGATGGACAAGAAGCTATCTATATACCAGCATCTGTCCAGCATGCTCCTGCCACACAGCAGATACAGTTAACAGGAAACCAGGCAATATTTACCCCAACAGGACAGATCATAAGAGCACAAAACATCATCCAGAATGTGCAGAGTGTTGGCCAAGTAGGAACGGTACGTGTACCTCTTGAGGAAACTTAAAATAGTTTTTAAATTTTGATCAGTGATTTTTTCAGTATTTATCTCCTGAAAGTTCATATGTTCAACTTAAAGCAAAGGAATACAGGTTTAACCTCACTAGTTCGGCAAGCTTGGGACCAGACAGGTGCCGGAGTAGCGAATTTTCTGAACCTCACTAGTTCAGCAAGCTTGAGACCAGACAGGTGCCGGAGTAGCGAATTTTCTGAACTAGTGAAACATAGGTAAGAAAAAGGCAAAATAATGCATATACTGTACTGTATTACTGTAAATCCACTTCTAAAACGTATTCACGTTTCTTTTTTTCACAACACACACGATGTTGACTGATCCTGTACCTCAACTTAAACCTGTGAAGCCAGCCATTTGAATATTCAAGGTGTTCCTTGATTTTAAATTGCTCATGAAATATTTTAGCCTGTTTAATGACCATTTCTTCAGAAATGCTCCCACCATCATCACAAAACTGCTGCCACCACTGCATAAGAGCCCTTTCTTTCTGTGTTTGTTTACCTTCTTTTAATATTTTTCTGTTTTCAATAACCTTACTTTCAGTGTCAGCAAAAATTTTAATTATTTTCTCTGGTTTCTTAACATTATACAGTCGATGAACCTTCACCATATTCTGCACACAAGGCTCTCACCAGTGTACCACTCTAGTTTTTTTCAGTATTGACACCTTGTGTAACAAAGTTAATGTCACGTATTTATGGTTTTCTGCATTACCACTACTTGTTGGTCTCTTATGAGGCATATTTAAGGGTAAAATTTCACTGTAGGTCAGCTGTGGCAGTTATAAAAAAAATATGGGGCGGCGGCGCCAAACTAATGACCACAAGATTCAAATGACTGTCCCGAACCATCAAATCTACTGAACCAGTAAATGCTGGACTAGTGAGGCTCAGCCCATATACAGTATAAGAATTTGTGTAAATTTTGTTTTTTGACAATTTTTTCTATCACTTTATGCATGGGAATCTGCCTCACTGTACACCTGTGCTACTCTGAACATCCTCTTCAGTATACTGATCAGGCTTGAAGACTGTTATCAGTAATATATTGAAGAATGTTTCTTACTTATTATTGATGAGAGAAAATATTGATTACTGCAAATTTCTTTCCTAGCATAATTTCATGAATTGTACTGTAATTTTGGTTCCTATTAATTTTATTTTTTAAATTTTAGTGATTTGTCAGTGTAATGTAAAAATTTGAATATATTATTTAGTTTTACACTTGGATCATTTAGGTTTGACGGCTAAATTACTTATACAGTATTTCCAGCCAATTACTGTTGGTGGGGTGCGAGCTACATCTGGCACGGGTGCAGGAACAGGCCAAGCAACTGCCACACAAGCACAAGTGAGCCAGATGGCCACACAGGTGATGCAGTCGGGGGTGGCTGGTGTACCCCAGGCTACCATCCCTGTCCAGATTCCCATATCAACAGCTGGAGGCCAGACTGTTCTACAGACTATTCCCTTTCCTGTACAGATTCCTGTCCTCCCAAATGTTGTACAAGCTAATGGCCAGACATTACAGGTTATGCCACAGCTGGCACAGGTGAGCTGTAATTATTAATAAAATCAAATACAACCTCTCCTCACTTAACGACAGAGTTACATTCCGAAGACCACCTTCGTAAATGAAATCGTCGCTAAGCAAGGAATGTACTATAATGGTAGTGGGTTTGTGCCAGCCATCTTTGATATTGTTTTAATGTCACCTTTGCATCATTTATAACATTTTTAGTATATTTTTAAATGTTTATACAGTAGTGTACTGTATATTTTAATAAACAGAATAGAGGAAATCAGCTTTGATATACATTATTTAGGTATGCATACTGGTCAGAGAGCCCAACGTAAGTCCGAGTCATTGGTAAATGAGTACATCGCTGAGTGAGGAGAGGCTGTAATGCATTTTAAATAAATTTAATTATCATAAGGTTAGCATTTTTTCATACTAGTAATTTCTTTAGTTTTAACATTAGTTGCAAAGTTATTAAAAATTTAACTGATTGACAGCATCATTATTTATTGTATATCCTTATAGAAAGTATGTTGTAACTTGTATAAAGATGTGTGAATACAGTGCAGAAGATAAGTGTGGACGTTAGGTGTGGGGTTACTGAGAGTATTATTCAATGGGTGGAGGAGTTATTATTTAGGAGGTTTGGACTTTTAGAGAGGAAGAAGGAAAATAGGATGACTTGAAGTGCATATAAATCTGCACAGTACTAATTAGAAATATCTGGCTTTTTTGTAATAATACAGGTTTACTTATTCTCAACAGGTGCAGACTCAGCCCCAGATTGCACAAATTCTACTTCCCAATGGGCAGGTGCAGCAAGTGCAGATGTTGTGGGGTAGTGCTTCAGGCATGATGTCTCTTGGGTCTGCCAGTCTGGGGTCTGCTGCTGCTATGACCCAGCTGGCAACATCCCAACCTATCACCACATCTACCTGGGCTACAAACACTATCTCAACACCATCTGTGGCTATACCAACTGTCCATACTAATACAACTAGCAATGCTGCTGCTGCTGAAAACAAGCAACAAACAGCACAGCAGGTACGTGATTACTTCAGATACTGATTTCATAGACCCAGTGATTATTCATGTGGCCGGGGTTAAGAACAGCTTTTACTGTGTATAGAAAAATATATTTGTCAGTTGATAATTTTTGCTACTTACGGGTTTGAATGTAGCAGAACCCCCTTACATATCAGCAGAGAGTACTTTTCTATTACTCTCATCGTATTTCAGACATACTTTCTTCTTCCCTATGCATTCGCCTCTCATAACCCATTCCTTTCTAACTGTGAGACTTTTTTATCTTTGTGTGCTTTCTGTAACCACCTAAAAGGACTCACTATTGCTGGGGTTGTGTTGATTGTTTAGCAGCCCAAAGCAATATAATCCAGGAGAGTACAAAATGAGAGTAGGAAGCAGTAGTGTGTTGGTGGAGTCCACCTGAATGAACTCATCTCGACCATAAAAATTAACACCCAAGTAAAAAATTAATAAGAAGGCTAAAGTTCTTCATTAACCCTTTCACTGGCAGTGTCGTTTATATACATCTTACGAGCCAGTGTTGGTGACGTATTAATACGCCAAAATTCTAGCGGCTTCAAATCAAGCGAGAGAAAGCTGGTAGGCCCACATGTGAGAGAATGGGTCTGTGTGGTCACTGTGCACAATATAAAAAAATTCCTGCAGCACACAGTGCATAAGGAGAAAAAAAAAGCTTGACCATGTTTTTGGATTAAAATGCCGACTTTGAGGTGTATTTTCATATAGTATTTATAGTTGTATCCTTGTTTTCTTGGTCTCATTTGATAGAATGAAAGATATATTATGGAAATAGAGATGATTTTGATTGGTTTCACAATGAAAAGTACCTTGAAATTGAGCTCAAAGTAGTGGAAATGTTCAATTTTTGCCGATGTTCAAGAGTAAACAAATAACGTCACCGTCCAATACGTGTCCAACTGGCCGGTCCAATATGCAGTCACGAATGGGTTGACATTATTTAGACAATTGTTACAGTAATGCAGTAGTCTGCATAACAGTAAATCTTTTATTTTTTGTGTGGATAAAAATTCAAAATAGAAAGCAAGATAATATAAGAGGGGCCTTGACAGTGAAAGGGTTAAGAGTTAAGGTAGAAAACTGTAAATAATTGCTTAGAATAAATTTTACTGTTACTCAGGCATCTTCCGGAGGCACTGCAAGCATAACTGCAACGAGCCCTTCACAGGTGGTAGGCCCAGGAGCAAGCATAACAGTTTCAAATACCTCACAGCTGTTACCACAAGGCATCACAGTATCCCCACAAGTAAGACATTAACCCTTGTTTCTCGGAAGCATGTTTTATATATTTTTACATTTTCTCTACATTTTACACTATAGTAATGTGAGATATTGTAATTACTATATTCGTTATACATTTCATGATGCTCAATGGTGTTCACCTGGATGCTCATGTAAAGGTAGATTTATAACCATGGATTCTCTTATCAACTTGAATATCATAAATGTATGCTGGATGCAGATTTTTTTTTTTTTTTTTTTTTTTTCCAACAAGTGGCGTCTCCACGAGGCAGGGTGACCCAAAAAAGAAAGAACATCCCCAAAAAGGAAAATACTTTCATCATCATTCAACACTTTCACCACACTCGCACATTATCACTGTTTTTGCAGAGGTGTCAGAATACAACATCTCAGAAGCATAAACATATAAAGATACACAACATATCCCTCCAAAATGCCAATATCCCAAACCCCTCCTTTAAAGTGCAGGCATTGTACTTCCCATTTCCAGGACTCAAGGACTATATGAAAAATAAACGGTTTTCCAGAATCCCTTTCATAAATATTTACCCCTGCTCACACTCAACAGATCGTCAGGTCCCAAGTACCATTCGTCTCCATTCACTCCTATCTAACACGCTCACGCACGCTTGCTGGAAGTCCAAGCCCCTTACCATAATTAATTAGCAGTAGAAATATTAAATGTAAAATGATTCTTGGTACTTCATATAAATTTTATATGATATGGCTTGAGTCCTGGAGGTGGGAAATACAATGCCTGCCCTCTGAAGAAGGGGTGGGGATATTTGCTGTTTGGAGAGTAATCTGAAGTGTCATATCTCCATGCCACTGGCAAGACAGTGATAGTGTGAATGATAATGAAAGTGTTTCTTTTTCAGGTCACCCTACCTCGGTGGGAGACAGCCAGTGTGCTAAAAAAAAATTTATACTAGTGCTATTTCTCACCTTCATAGGCTAGGGGAGTATTTTGCAAAAAAGTATAAAGTTTATAAAATTGATATTTTAACTATTCTTCAGTTGCCAGGGTCAGTAGGTGGTGGAGGCGTGACAGTAGTACCAGTGAGTCAGTCACAGCTGCGGACTGCTGCACCAACTGCTGTGGCTGCCCAGCAGAATACCATCCAGATCCCTCAAATACAAGTTGTTCAACCTATGTTTCAACATATTCCTGGTATTGGACAGGTGAGTTTATCTAGAAATTGAGTTCATTTTAACGAAAGGGTTACATATTGCGACTGAAATGAATGCCAAAAGAAGCAGTAGTAGGCTGGTAGACATCAGCCATCTAGGGAGGTACATACTGCTGTTTGGCCATATGAGTAAAATGGAAGCTAATTAAAAATTTGCACTCTGGCAGGATTACTGGTCTTTTCTGTCTCATTAATGTGCAATATGGCAGTTAAATATACAAAATTCCACTTACATTCAGTATGCACTTACTTTTCTTTATTCCTTAGTAGTTTTCATTCCTTTGAAATTTAGGAGTCCTGATCTGAGGTCAGGCCAGGGGTAGTAATCTTCAGAACTATTAGGATATATAAGCCTCAGTCCTGTACTGCTATGCATACTGCATTATGTTTTCAAAAAATGCATTGCACAGTAATATAGTTTTTGTATATATGCAGTTATCCATGAGGAAGTGGAAAAAGAATTCTTCTTTCATGAGCCATGTGTGTCAAAAGGCGACTAAAATGTCGAGAGCAAGAGACTAGTAACTTTCTATATAAATTAATGTATGTAAAAAGAAGAATCTGTCTCATAAACACGCTAGATAACAGGGATATCTTGCTACTCCTACTTACACTTTGGTCACACTTCACAGACACGCACATGCATATATATATACATACATCTAGGTTTTTCTCCTTTTTCTAAATAGCTTTTGTTCTACTTTATTTCTTGTATTGTCCATGGGTAAGTGGAAAAGAATCTTTCCTCCATAAGCCATGCGTGTCGTATGAGGCGACCAAAATGCCGGGAGCAATGGGCTAGTAACCCCTTCTCCTGTAGACATTTACTAAAAAAGAGAAGAAGAACAACTTTATAAAACTGGGATGCTTGAATGTGCGTGGATGTAGTGCGGATGACAAGAAACAGATGATTGCTGATGTTATGAATGAAAAGAAGTTGGATGTCCTGGCCCTAAGCGAAACAAAGCTGAAGGGGATAGGGGAGTTTCGGTGGGGGGAAATAAATGGGATTAAATCTGGAGTATCTGAGAGAGTTAGAGCAAAGGAAGGGGTAGCAGTAATGTTGAAGGATCAGTTATGGAAGGAGAAAAGAGAATGTGAATGTGTAAATTCAAGAATTATGTGGATTAAAGTAAAGGTTGGATGCGAAAAGTGGGTCATAATAAGCGTGTATGCACCTGGAGAAGAGAGGAATGTAGAGGAGAGAGAAAGATTTTGGGAGATGTTAAGTGAATGTATAGGAGCCTTTGAACCAAGTGAGAGAGTAATTGTGGTAGGGGATCTGAATGCTAAAGTAGGAGAAACTTTTAGAGAGGGTGTGGTAGATAAGTTTGGGGTGCCAGGTGTAAATGATAATGGGAGCCCTTTGATTGAACTTTGTATAGAAAGGGGTTTAGTTATAGGTAATACATATTTTAAGAAAAAGAGGATAAATAAGTATACAAGATATGATGTGGGGCAAAATGACAGTAGTTTGTTGGATTATGTATTGGTAGATAAAAGACTGTTGAGTAGACTTCAGGATGTACATGTTTATAGAGGGGCCACAGATATATCAGATCACTTTCTAGTTGTAGCTACACTGAGAGTAAAAGGTAGATGGGATACAAGGAGAATAGAAGCATCAGGGAAGAGAGAGGTGAAGGTTTATAAACTAAAAGAGGAGGCAGTTAGGGTAAGATATAAACAGCTATTGGAGGATAGATGGGCTAATGAGAGCATAGGCAATGGGGTCGAAGAGGTATGGGGTAGGTTTAAAAATGTAGTGTTAGAGTGTTCAGCAGAAGTTTGTGGTTACAGGAAAGTGGGTGCGGGAGGGAAGAGGAGCGATTGGTGGAATGATGATGTAAAGAGAGTAGTAAGGGAGAAAAAGTTAGCATATGAGAAGTTTTTACAAAGTAGAAGTGATGCAAGGAGGGAAGAGTATATGGAGAAAAAGAGAGAGGGTAAGAAAGTGGTGAAGCAATGTAAAAAGAGAGCAAATGAGAGAGTGGGTGAGATGTTATCAACAAATTTTGTTGAAAATAAGAAAAAGTTTTGGAGTGAGATTAACAAGTTAAGGAAGCCTAGAGAACAAATGGATTTGTCAGTTAAAAATAGGAGAGGAGAGTTTTTAAATGGAGAGTTACAGGTATTGGGAAGATGGAGGGAATATTTTGAGGAATTGTTAAATGTTGATGAAGATAGGGAAGCTGTGATTTCGTGTATAGGGCAAGGAGGAATAACATCTTGTGGGAGTGAGGAAGAGACAGTTGTGAGTGTGGGGGAAGTTCGTGAGGCAGTAGGTAGAATGAAAGGGGGTAAGGCAGCCGGGATTGGTGGAATAAAGATAGAAATGTTAAAAGCAGGTGGGGATATAGTTTTGGAGTGGTTGGTGCAATTATTTAATAAATGTATGGAAGAGGGTAAGGTACCTAGGGATTGGCAGAGAGCATGCATAGTTCCTTTGTATAAAGGCAAAGGGGACAAAAGAGAGTGCAAAAATTATAGGGGGATAAGTCTGTTGAGTATACCTGGTAAAGTGTATGGTAGAGTTATTATTGAAAGAATTAAGAGTAAGACGGAGAATAGGATAGCAGATGAACAAGGAGGCTTTAGGAAAGGTAGGGGGTGTGTGGACCAGGTGTTTACAGTGAAACATATAAGTGAACAGTATTTAGATAAGGCTAAAGAGGTCTTTGTGGCATTTATGGATTTGGAAAAGGTGTATGACAGGGTGGATAGGGGGGCAATGTGACAGATGTTGCAGGTGTATGGTGTAGGAGGTAGGTTACTGAAAGCAGTGAAGAGTTTTTACGAGGATAGTGAGGCTCAAGTTAGAGTATGTAGGATGTGTGATGTCACCATGGTTGTTTAATATATTTATAGATGGGGTTGTAAGAGAAGTAAATGCGAGGGTCTTGGCAAGAGGCGTGGAGTTAAAAGATAAAGAATCACACATAAGTGGGAGTTGTCACAGTTGCTCTTTGCTGATGACACTGTGCTCTTGGGAGATTCTGAAGAGAAGTTGCAGAGATTGGTGGATGAATTTGGTACGGTGTGCAAAAGAAGAAAATTAAAAGTGAATGCAGGAAAGAGTAAGGTTATGAGGATAACAAAAAGATTGGGTGATGAAAGATTGGATATCAGATTGGAGGGAGAGAGTATGGAGGAGGTGAATGTATTCAGATATTTGGGAGTGGACGTGTCAGCGGATGGGTCTATGAAAGATGAGGTGAATCATAGAATTGATGAGGGGAAAAGGGTGAGTGGTGCACTTAGGAGTCTGTGGAGACAAAGAACTTTGTCCTTGGAGGCAAAGAGGGGAATGTATGAGAGTATAGTTTTACCAACGCTCTTATATGGGTGTGAAGCATGGGTGATGAATGTTGCATCGAGGAGAAGGCTGGAGGCAGTGGAGATGTCATGTCTGAGGGCAATGTGTGGTGTGAATATAATGCAGAGAATTCGTAGTTTGGAAGTTAGGAGGAGGTGCGGGATTACCAAAACTGTTGTCCAGAGGGCTGAGGAAGGGTTGTTGAGGTGGTTCGGACATGTAGAGAGAATGGAATGAAACAGAGTGACTTCAAGAGTGTATCAGTCTGTAGTGGAAGGAAGGCGGGGTAGGGGTCGGCCTAGGAAAGGTTGGAGGGAGGGGGTAAAGGAGGTTTTGTGTGTGAGGGGCTTGGACTTCCAGCAGGCATGCGTGAGCATGTTTGATAGGAGTGAATGGAGACAAATGGTTTTTAATACTTGACGTGCTGTTGGAGTGTGAGCAAAGTAACATTTATGAAGGGGTTCAGGGAAACCAGCAGGCCGGACTTGAGTCCTGGAGATGGGAAGTACAGTGCCTGCACTCTGAAGGAGGGGTGTTAATGTTGCAGTTTAAAAACTGTAGTGTAAAGCACCCTTCTGGCAAGACAGTGATGGAGTAAATGATGGTGAAAGTTTTTCTTTTTCGGGCCACCCTGCCTTGGTGGGAATCGGCCAGTGTGATAATAAATAAATAATAAAAAAGAAGAAAAACTTAAGTTTCTTCTTTCTCGGGACACCTTGCCTCAGTGAGAGATTGCTGGTGTGTTAAAAAAAAGATAGTTAAATTTTTATATGAAATTGTTATAATATTATATGTATATGCAAGGGGCCCTTCTGTATACATTACTAATTTTAAAACGAGAAACTTTCGTTTTTCTTTTTAGGTCACCCTGCCTCAGTGGGATATGGCCAGTTTGTTGAAAAAAAATATGTATAATACTGATAGTTCTTAAGTGCACATTATATTCTGCAGTATTGGAAGTAATGTAATTGGTATAAATTATGTTGTAAATGACTGACAATTTACAAACATTTCTTCAACAGGTGCAGGTGTTATCTCCCTCATCATTACAGACACTCACATCATCCTTAGCAGGAGCATCACAACCCATCTCTGTGTCCACTTTGAATGCTGTTCCTACGTCGACTACTCAGCCTGTCACTAGTGCTATACCCACACAAATATTACCAGGAGGAGCACAAATAATCAGTAAGCAGATGTCTTGTGAAAGGTTTCAGTAAATATCTATTGTGTTGTGCAGTGTTTGTTGAATAGAGTTAATACCATATGGGCATGGTTATTACTCCTTTCTTAATACTATACAAATTCGACAAAACTAATATGTGTGATAAAGTGTATTATTATTATTATTATTATTATTATTATTATTATTATTATTATTATTATTACTACTACTACTACTATTGTAATAATAATAATTGCAAAATACTGAATTCTTTAATTGTATGGGGGAAATTAATATTTTCATATTTCGTATTTATGCTGGGGTTGAAGTCAGCATCATTAACATGTTCAAACTGGTGTTTATCTTTCTCCTGCAGTCACAGAATTATAACAAATAAGAGTTGCTGTATCATGTCTTCATTAACAGTTATTACTACTTCGTGCCATATTTATGACTAGTAAATGCAGGGAATAGAAATTACTAACAGAAATTCCAGACACATTAGTGGGTGTCAGGCCATCTTCCTTTTGGCTTTACCATAAATACTAATTTGATAGACTATTCGGATGTGTAGTTAGTAGAGTATTTTGTTATTAATATCTTTACAAAAAATGCTAATCTCTGAAGTGTTGGAGAGGGAAATTGTTTGAGCCCATTGTTATGTCGTGATTGAAGTTAGCATCAGTAGGAAGTGTTCAACCATTAAAATAGGCTGCAGACAGTAACAGAAATGTAGTATTTTCTGCTTGGATTTTCTCATTGCCTATGATTTCTGCTGTCTCATGACTTCATTAGCACACGTTCCTTTTTTTTTTTTTTTTTTTTTTAACAAGTCGGCCGTCTCCCACCGAGGCAGGGTGACCCAAAAAAGAAAGAAAATCCCCAAAAAGAAAATACTTTCATCATCATTCAACACTTTCACCACACTCACACATTATCACTGTTTTTGCAGAGGTGCTCAGAATACAACAGTTTAGAAGCATACACATATAAAGATACACAACATATCCCTCCAAACTGCCAATATCCCAAACCCCTCCTTTAAAGGGCAGGCATTGTACTTCCCATTTCCAGGACTCAAGTCCGACTATATGAAAATAACCGGTTTCCCTGAATCCCTTCACTAAATATTACCTTGCTCACACTCCAACAGATCGTCAGGTCCCAAGTACCATTCGCCTCCATTCACTCCTATCTAACACGCTCACACACGCTTGCTGGAATTCCAAGCCCCTTGCCCACAAAACCTCCTTTACCCCCTCTCTCCAACCCTTTCGAGGACGACCCCTACCCCGCCTTCCTTCCCCTATAGATTTATATGCTTTCCATGTCATTCTACTTTGATTCATTCTCTCTAAATGACCAAACCACCTCAACAACCCCTCTTCTGCCCTCTGACTAATACTTTTATTAACTCCACACCTTTTCCTAATTTCCACACTCCGAATTTTCTGCATAATATTTACACCACACATTGCCCTTAAACAGGACATCTCCACTGCCTCCAACCGTCTCCTCGCTGCTGCATTTACCACCCAAGCTTCACACCCATATAAGAGTGTTGGTACTACTATACTTTCATACATTCCCTTCTTTGTCTCCATAGATAACGTTTTTTGACTCCACATATATCTCAACGCACCACTCACCTTTTTTTCCCTCATCCTTCATAAATCCATCCACCGACACGTCAACTCCCAGGTATCTGAAAACATTCACTTCTTCCATACTCCTCCTCCCCAATTTGATATCCAATTTTTCTTTATCTAAATCATTTGATACCCTCATCACCTTACTCTTTTCTATGTTCACTTTTAACTTTCTACCTTTACACACATTCCCAAACTCATCCACTAACCTTTGCAATTTTTCTTTAGAATCTCCCATAAGCACAGTATCATCAGCAAAAAGTAACTGTGTCAATTCCCATTTTGAATTTGATTCCCCAAAATTTAATCCCACCCCTCTCCCGAACACCCTAGCATTTACTTCCTTTACAACCCCATCTATAAATATATTAAACAACCATGGTGACATTACACATCCCTGTCTAAGATCTACTTTTACCGGGAAGTAGTCTCCCTCTCTTCTACACACCCTAACCTGAGCCTCACTATCCTCATAAAAACTCTTTACAGCATTTAATAACTTACCACCTATTCCATAAACTTGCAACATCTGCCACATTGCTCCTCTATCCACTCTATCATATGCCTTTTCTAAATCCATAAATGCAATAAAAACTTCCCTACCTTTATCTAAATACTGTTCACATATATGCTTCAATGTAAACACTTGATCTACACATCCCCTACCCACTCTGAAACTTCCTTGCTCATCCGCAATCCTACATTCTGTCTTACCTCTAATTCTTTCAATTATAACCCTACCGTACACTTTTCCTGGTATACTCAGTAAACTTATTCCTCTATAATTTTTACAGTCTCTTTTGTCCCCTTTCCCTTTATATAAATGGACTATTATGCTCTCCGCCAATCCCTAGGTACCTTCCCCTCTTTCATACATTTATTAAACAAAAGTACCAACCACTCCAACACTATATCCTCCCTGCTTTTAACATTTCTGTCATGATCCCATCAGTTCCAGCTGCTTTACCCCCTTTCATTCTACGTAATGCCTCACGTACCTCCCCCACACTTACATTCTGCTCTTCTTCACTCCTAAAAGATGGTATACCTCCCTGACCAGTGCATGAAATTACTGCCTCTCTTTCTTCCTTAACATTTAAAAGTTTTTCAAAATATTCTCGCCATCTACCTAATACCTCCATCTCCCCATCTACTAACTCCCCTACTCTGTTTTTAACTGACAAATCCATACTTTCCCTAGGCTTTCTTAACTTGTTTAACTCACTCCAAAATTTTTTCTTATTTTCATTAAAATTTCTTGACAGTGCCTCTCCCACTCTATCATCTGCTTTCCTTTTGCACTCTCTCACCACTCTCTTTACCTTTCTTTTACTCTCCATATACTCTGCTCTTCTTATAACACTTCTGCTTTGAAAAAACCTCTCATAAGCTACCTTTTTCTCTTTTATCACACCCTTTACTTCATCATTCCACCAATCACTCCTCTTTCCTCCTGGCCCCACCCTCCTATAACCACAAACTTCTGCCCCACATTCTAATAATGCATTTTTAAAACTCATCCAACCCTCTTCAACCCCCCCCCTACTCATCTTTGCACTAGCCTACCTTTCTGGCAATAGTCGCTTATATCTCACCCGAACTTCCTCCTCCCTTAGTTTATACACTTTCACCTCCCTCTTACTTGTTGTTGCCACCTTTCTCTTTTCCCACCTACCTCTTACTCTAACTGTAGCTACAACTAAATAATGATCCGATATATCAGTTGCCCCTCTGTAAACATGTACATCCTGGAGCCTACCCATCAACCTTTTATCCACCAATACATAATCTAATAAACTACTTTCATTACGTGCTACATCATACCTTGTATATTTATTTATCCTCTTTTTCATAAAATATGTATTACTTATTGCCAAATTTCTTTCTACACATAGCTCAATTAAAGGCTCCCCATTTACATTTACCCCTGGCACCCCAAATTTACCTACTACTCTCTCCATAACATTTTTACCCACTTTAGCATTGAAATCCCCAACCACCATTACTCTCACACTTGATTCAAAACTCCCCATGCATTCACTCAACATTTCCCAAAATCTCTCTCTCTCCTCTACACTTCTCTCTTCTCCAGGTGCATACACGCTTATTATAACCCACTGTTCACATCCAATCTTTGTTTTACTCCACATAATCCTTGAATTAATACATTTATAGTCCCTCTTTTCCTGCCATAGCTTATCCTTCAACATTATTGCTACTCCTTCTTTAGCTCTAACTCTATTTGAAACCCCTGACCTAATCCCATTTATTCCTCTCCATTGAAACTCTCCCACCCCCTTCAGCTTTGTTTCACTTAAAGCCAGGACATCCAGTTTCTTCTCATTCATAACATCCACAATCATCTCTTTCTTATCATTTGCACAACATCCACGCACATTCAGACTTCCCACTTTGACAATTTTCTTCTTCTTATTCTTTTTAGTAATCTTTACTGGAAAAGAGGTTCCTAGCCCATTGTTCCCGGCATTTTAGTTGACTTTTACAACACGCATGGCTTATGGAGGAAAGATTCTTATTCCACTTCCCCATGGATATAAAAGGAAAAGTTCCTATATTATAAATTGTATTTACAGCTATCCTTGATAAGTAATTGCAAAGAAAAGATATTGTTAGAGGAAATTATTGGTAGTGGCTGGGACCCCTGATGTTGGTGAAGGGAATTTGACCCAAGGAGCTGGATTTGTCCTCTCCTTGGATTGAATCTGAATTCATCCAGTTGCCACAGGCACTGTATGACCCCTGTGGGTTTAGTATTTTTTGCTTAATGAACGTTGTCTCTGGCCTCTCTCTAGGTCATTAATAAAGGATCAACTGTACTTGGGTATTTATTTAAAAATTTAATTGCAGTTTGGCTATTATATGCATGAAAAAATTGCCACTTGCATAATCATACAGAAGAAAATAGAAAATCAGTACTGTATTAAAAAGGAATGTAGAAGCTTAAGTTAATGAAGTGAGTAGTATGGTGATCACAAATACTGAGCAGACCAAGATATTCAGATGGTGCTGCAGTTTGAGTTGAGTCCATTACAGTAATAAAGATTTGTGGAGAAAGGATACTCAATTTATTTCAACCATGAAAGCACTTAAATAGATGAACAAGGCCATCTAGTCTTCAACCTTTGATTCTCGGACACACTTGTGATGCTGGTATCACTGTGCTTTTCTTCTTGTGATTTTTTTTTTACCTTTTTCCCCCTCTTTATATTTTTGTTTTTTATTGTTTTTGTGGACATTGCTCTGCATTCCTATTTCTCAGCAGTTGCCAACTACCACCAGTGGTGGACAAATTAGTGGTCAAGGTTAAATTATAGATGGTAATGTTTGTTGGTAACTGAATTAGGTATTTGGAGATTATATTCATGTTTAAATAGAAATCAGTTAATAAGTAGCCATGATAATTATTTTGATTTAAAAAATGCTACTTCATATTAAAAGTTGCACTGTTTATTTAACTACTGTATTTTCTAGGTGCCAGTGGATTTCAGGGAGAGAGTGATGGAGCCAAATGGGTTGTTTCAACAGGAGGGCAAGTTAATCAGACCCAGGTAGTTCCACAGCCAGCACATTCACCCACCAGTGATACAAGCAAGACAAGACTACGCCGCGTGGCATGCACATGTCCAAATTGCAAAGATGGTGACCGTGGGGGAGACAACAAAAAGAAAGTTCATGTCTGTCATATTCCTGGCTGTAATAAAATGTATGGCAAAACGTCACATCTAAGAGCTCATCTTAGGTGGCACTCAGGAGAGCGGCCATTCAGATGCTCTTGGCTTTTCTGCAATAAAAGGTTCACTCGCTCAGATGAGCTGCAGGTACATATGTCATGTTACAGAGGTGTTAATTATGCTAAGATAGTCCATTCTGCCTGTAGCAGGATTGTCATTATTGTTTGTTCTACTTTTTGACCTAGACAAAAGTATTTTTGAAGAATAAAATTCACAATACCGAAGCTGGAGAAATTCACAAATAACAGTTAACAAGGAAAATTCGGACAATGTTTTGGACCATGTTGTGACTTGGCATGGGTTCAAGATGGACCATAATGTTGCCCAAAGTGTCCTCTAATTGTGGGTTATTTGTGAAAAGTATATTTATTGCATCTGATTTATTGGAATTCTTTTTTATTGCATCCAGTTTTTTGGAATTATTTGCCAAAGCTTTCATGATTAAAATGTTATGTAAAAGGACACAAGTGCAACTAATGTGACAGTTTATTGTGGCAACGTTTCACTTTCCTGGAGCTTTGTCAAGCTGTTACAGCTTGACAGAGTTCCTGCACTTGTGTATACATTGAAGCTCTCTCCACATTGAAGCCCCCTTCACATTGAAACCCCCTCTACATTGAAGCTTCCTCCACATTGAAGCCCCTTGCACACTGAAGCCCCCTGCATATTGAAGCTCCCTCCACATTGAAGCTCCCTCCACATTGAAGCCCCCCCTCTACATTCAAACCCCCTCCACATTGAAGCCACCTCCACATTGAAGCCCCCTCCACATTGAAGCCCCCTCCACATTGAAGCTCCCTCCACATTGAAGCCCCCTTTACATTGAAACCCCCTCCATATTGAAGCCCCCTCCCACATTGAAGCTCCCTCCACATTGAAGCTCCCTCCACATTAAAGCTCCCTCCACATTGAAGCCCCCTCCATGTTAAAACTCCCTCCACATTGAGGCTCCCTCCACATTGAAGCCCCTTCCACATTGAAGCTCCCTCCACATTAAAGCTCCCTCCACATTGAAGCCCCCACCACATTAAAGCTCCCTCCACATTGAAGCCCCCACCACATTAAAGCTCCCTCCACATTGAAGCTCCCTCCACATTGAAGCTCCCTCCACATTGAAGCCCCCTCCACATTGAAGCCCCCTCCACATTGAAGCCCCCTCCACATTGAAGCCCCCTCCACATTAAAGCTCCCTCCACATTGAAGCCCTCTCCACATTAAAGCTCCCTCCACATTGAGGCTCCCTCCACATTGAAGCCCCCTCCACATTGAAGCTCCCTCCACATTGAAGCTCCCTCCACATTGAAGCTCCCTCCACATTGAAGCTCCCTCCACATTGAGGCTCCCTCCACATTGAGACTCCCTCCACATTGAAGCTCCCTCCACATTGAAGCTCCCTCCACATTGAAGCTCCCTCCACATTGAGGCTCCCCTCCCACATTGAAGCTCCCTCCACATTGAAGCTCCCTCCACATTGAAGCTCCCTCCACATTGAAGCTCCTTCCACATTGAGGCTCCCTCCACATTGAAGCTCCCTCCACATTGAAGCTCCCTCCACATTGAGGCTCCCTCCACATTGAGGCTCCCTCCACATTGAAGCTCCCTCCACATTGAAGCTCCCTCCACATTGAAGCTCCCTCCACATTGAAGCTCCCTCCACATTGAAGCTCCCTCCACATTGAAGCTCCCTCCACATTGAAACTCCCTCCACATTGAAGCTCCCTCCACATTGAGGCTCCCTCCTCATTGAGGCTCCCTCCATATTGAAGCTCCCTCCACATTGAAGATCCCTCCACATTGAAGCTCCCTCCACATTGAAGCTCCCTCCACACTGAAGCTCCCTCCACATTGAAGCTCCCTCCACATTGAAGCTCCCTCCACATTGAGGCTCCCTCCACATTGAAGCTCCCTCCACATTGAAGCTCCCTCCACACTGAAGCTCCCTCCACATTGAAGCTCCCTCCACATGAAGCTCCCTCCACATTAAAGCTCCCTCCACATTGAGGCTCCCTCCACATTGAAGCTCCCTCCACATTGAAGCTCCCTCCACATTGAAGCTCCCTCCACATTGAGGCTCCCTCCACATTGAAGCCCCCTCTGCATTGAAGCTCCCTCCACATTGAGGCTCCCTCCACATTGAGGCTTCCTCCACATTGAAGCCCCCTTCACATTGAAGCCCCCTCCACATTGAGGCTCCCTCCACATTGAGGCTCCCTCCACATTGAGGCTTCCTCCACATTGAAGCCCCCTCCACATTGAAGCCACCTCCACATTGAGGCTCCCTCCACATTGAAGCTCCCTCCACATTGAAGCCACCTCCACATTGAGGCTCCCTCCACATTGAGGCTTCCTCCACATTGAAGCCACCTCCACATTGAGGCTCCCTCCACATTGAGGCTCCCTCCACATTGAGGCTCCCTCCACATTGAAGCTCCCTCCACATTGAGGCTCCCTCCACATTGAGGGTCCCTCCACATTGAAGCTCCCTCCACATTGAAGCTCCCCCCACATTGAAGCCCCCTCCACATTGAAGCTCCCTCCACATTGAGGCTTCCTCCACATTGAAGCCCCTCCACACCTAAAAACCTAGCCTTTTACTAGTCATTACTCATTTCTTCTGGAAATTTTTTTTATTAATCCTAACTTTCTTGTTTCATTTTGCTATTTATGGTACATGATGTGCAAAAAATATGTAACGATGTTTATTGAGCCTTTACACTTTTAAGCGCATTCAACAAAATTTATTATGTCAAACTTTTTACTTGTCAAAATATTGTGAAGTAAGACCTTGTTGGATTAGCATTGCATAAAAAGATGTACAGTACTTTATATTTAGAGAAGGAGACATATGTTCATAGTACAGTAGGCCTTTAATGACTTTTAATTTAGCATTTCCCATAAGTCTTAAAATTTTATTTACAATAAATGCCTGGTTTGTAAAGAGCCATTTTATTAGCTATACTTTTAAAATTTTGAGTCAATAATTGTCTTATTAAACATTGAAATAATAATATTGATTGGGGAAATTTGAACCTCATTTTGCAGAGACACAAACGCACACATACGGGTGAAAAGCGGTTTCACTGTCCAGAGTGTCAGAAGCGTTTTATGCGTTCTGACCATCTTTCAAAACATGTTAAAACTCATACAAAACAGAAGGTGATGGTGAGTAGTTGGGATGTTTTGCCAAATGTAAGTGGATATTGTAGTTTTTATTATGCTTAATGGGGTTGTGGGGTAAGTTATCGAAAATGGTTTCTTTTTGCGCTTGTTTTTCTTCTACCAGTTATGTGTGTTGTCTCATTTTATTTGATAGTGACTTATCATTATATTAGTGCCAAGAAGCCTCCATGTTCTGATGAATTACCCTATAATCCTTTTTTAGTTTACTTTATTTGGTATCACAGTACTGAAATATGCTTCATAAATTATTTTTTTTATTTGTATCTTCAATATTGTTGCATATGATATGTGTGTGTGTGTGTGTGTACGCATGTGTGCGTGAGTGTGTTTATTTTCTTGGTAGCAGAAAAGTACATGTAATTATTCATTCAGGGTTTATGGTTAAATTGTGAAATAAGTTGACTTAATAATGATACTCTTGGCCATATTTTTGTTCTTTACTGAAAAGGAATTTGTATATTGAGTTTCGCAAAGCAAGCTAGGTTTATCATTCCATGTATGATATTGAAGACTAGTGTATTGAAAGCCATGCCAGTGAAGCATTACCCCTGCAGAATTACAGGGGGCCATATAAACAGAGGTGTAAATGACCTCAAAACTAGAAAATTCTGACAACCTCGAACACATACTCCTACTCCCAAAGACTCCTATTTTTACCTGTTTGATTTTGCACTGGGTAAACTTTTAGCTCTTATTCCTACCTTGTAACTTTCGACCGACTGATGCGAAATAGCTTCTTCATGTTGATTTTAAAGCCCCATATATGGAATCAGCTTTGACATTGCCATTATTTAGTTATTGCCCTTTTCTACTTAAGAAATGTCATGATATCCCATTTCGATCTTTAATTCCCATCGGTGCCCTCTTCTTTCCTCGTGTCTTTCTATGCCCCAAAATATTTGTATTTAGAGATCATATCTCATTCTTTTGAGCTTCAGCACTGCTCTGGATGTTTGAGAGATAATTCATTGCTAGCTTTAGGAGCAGTGCTCTACTTGTGGTAATTATATATTTGTAATTACCTGTTTCCTAGGTAGTAGGTTGGTAGACAGCAACCACCCAGGGAGGTACTACCGTCCTGCCAAGTGAGTGTAAAACGAAAGCCTGTAATTGTTTTACATGATGGTAGGATTGCTGGTGTCCATTTTTCTGTTATAAACATGCAAGGTTTCAGGTACGTCTTGCTACTTCTGCTTACACTTAGGTCACACAACACATACATGTACAAGCACATATATACACACCCCTCTGGGTTTTCTTCTATTTTCTTACTAGTTCTTGTTCTTGTTCTTGTTTATTTTCTCTTATCTCCATGGGGAAGTGGAACAGAATTCTTCCTCCGTAAGCCATGCGTGTTGTAAGAGGCGACTTAAATGCCAGGAGCAAGGGGCTAGTAACCCTTTCTCCTGTATAATTTACTAAATTTAAAAAGAGAAACTTTTGTTTTTCTTTTTTTTCCACCCTGCCTCATTGGGATATGGCCGGTTTGTTGAAGAAGAATTACTTGTTTGAGTCTCCAGCTAAAGGGGAGATCCAGCTCTTGGTTCTGCCTCAACATTCAACTGACTTATGTAATTGAGCTCTGTCATACATTTTCTGAACCCCTTCATTGAGTTTGTTTTGTTGTTGTTTTACTCAGCTCATTTCACTTACACAGAGTAAGTATTTTCTAATATACCTGTAGTTCTTGTTGCATTCTTGTCAATATCCCATAATATTTTATGTAATATGACTATTCTTTCTTGTTTTTTGCTCCTCCAAGGATACAAGGCCTAGTTATAATGTTCTTTCTCATAGCTAATTCTCCTTAGCTCAGGCAACAGTTTTGATGTTTTCTTTTGCACTCTCAAATTTTTCCCCATGCTTTACTAGGTGAGGGTTCCACACTGTCACTGCATATTAAAAGACATGTCTCACATATGAGTTCTAAAATATTTGAACTAGTCTTTGTCAAGTTGCTGAATGCAAGTTTTTTGTTTGCCTGCATAACCTGTTCTGTTGATGTTCTATTTATGTGGGCTTCTGTGGACAGGTTTAGTGGAATGGTTATTTTTGGATTTTATTGTTAATGGTCACTGATTTTTTTCCCCAGATGCTACTCTCCTTGAGTCTTTCTCTTCCTCCCATTTTTATAACTGCTTTTGCTTGGATTAAATTCTAGTAACATTTATTCAATCATTCCTGGTGTTCATCCTAGTCTTCCTGCAACCTTCTTTCATCCTGTCAGGTTTGTATTCTCATTATGTGGAAGTTCATTTTTGTGGTTAAGTCATTACCATAATATACACTAGAAGCAGTATGGGGCCCAACATTCATCTTTGTAGCACTCTGCTAGTTGTACTCACTCATCCTGATGTGTCTTTCCTTGGAGTGACTTTTTCTTTAGTTCACTTATTCTTCTGTCCATACTAATACCTTTCTTGTTACCCTGGCCTGCTTCTCCAGTTTGCTAAGTGTGCACACGCATGTGTTTACTCACTGTGTTTTTTATCTGTTTTGTATTTTTGCTTATCTGTTCATTATTCTATAGGTTTTCGCGTCAGTCAGTCGCTCGTTTGCTGGTACCAAGAAAACTATAAATCCACCAAAACCCACTCATCAAACGGTAATTATTTAAAGCAACAGCCGTTTGTTGATCCGTCTCCGCTGGTATAGTTGTCAGGTTTTGCCAGCGGTGATATTGTTCATTATTCTTTCTTGTTATTCTCACTTCTTACCCATATTATATATATTTATATGAACCGCACAACTTATGTGGGTCATTCAGCTCCAGGAGTGGTAGAGGCTCAGTCCTCCATCTACCAGGCGTAATTTCATCTCGCAACACACTCAGTGTCTTCCAGCAACTCTTGTCCCATATTTCTCATGTTTGTGATAATTATGTTCACTGATATAAAATACACATAAAATCCATGTGTCCTAACCACACTTTAAAACTGCTATGGTGCCTCAAGTCTTTTGGTCTTTTTTTTTTTCAGATTTTTTTTTTTTACCTCATTATCTTACAGTCTAGAGTACTGAATCATTTCATTTGCTCTTTTGTTTTTGAACTCTGTTACATGGAACAGTCTTTTGCTTGTTCTAGAGCAACTTTGCTTGCAGTCTCAAGTGTGAGTTTGTGACTACCAGTCTTGGTGACAACACCAAACACACTACTGTTGTGACATTGACATTTGTCACCTTTTTATTTCTTTACTGTTTTTGATTTTCATAATTATCCAATCCATATATCATTACATTTTGTATCATCTTCTCTACTTCATCTGATGTCCTTATTTTTGCTTTTTCTTTTATTTTATAGACTAAAAACCCAATGGTTAGTCCCATTGTATTGAGCCAGTATTATAAGCTTATGTGTGAAACTGCAGTGGCTTGTGTTCACAGGTTTTTTTCAAGGCGCTGCTTTGCTTTAATAAAATATATTCACTTAATGAGGTTTTTCCATGCATTTTGGATGATATGAGTTTAAACCTTGTAAAATACCTTGGAATCTTACCATATTATATTTATCTTAGGTAGCATGTTGGTAGACAGTAACTAACCAGGAAGGTACTAGCCTCCTGTCACATGAGTGAAGTGTAAGCCTGTTTAATATTTAAATTGGAAGGATTGCTGGTCTTTTCTATCAGTCTCACAAATGCATAAGATAGCAGATTAATCTTACAAACTTGTAGATACATTCAGTACAAGTGTATCTTTACTTTTCTGTAGTGTTTCTGCAATGTTTCCTTTTTATTTTAAGTGGCTTGGTTTGAGGCACACCTACAGGAAAGATGATGTATTTACAGATACAGTATGTAAAGTGCTAAACCCATGTGTGTCATGTGGAGCTGAGTGATAGAGGATGCTGATGTTAGTGGTGATAAGAGCAATAGTAAATTACAGAGAATGAGCAATTGTGAAATTAGGCATTCAAAGTTTGTGCAGTAAATCGTAAGATAAAAAAAAAAGTCATACATTGAATCAGCATTAAATGTTCTCTTAAAAGGAACTGGTGTTGATGGAGGGGGAGTTTGAAAATAAAATTGATGTGCTTACTGGTAAATGGGACAGTCTATCAAAAGATGACTTTCAGGATAACCTGGTAATTCATGCAGTGATTTTCTTGAGCTGGCTTAGAGTGAGTTTAATGTAGCCATTGTGAAGTCACAAGAATGGGACTTTTTTTCTTCTTCTTTTTCTTTTTAAACACTGGCCATCTCCCACCAAGGGTTACCCAGAAAAAGAAGCATTTTCAATGTCATTCATTCAGTCACTGTCTTTCCAGAAGAGTGCCAACATCACAGCTCAGATGACCCTCTGAACTGCAACATCCCCACCCCTCCTTCAGAGTGCAGGCACTGTACTTACCACTTGCAGGACTCAAATCTGGCTAACTGGTTTCTCTGAATCATTTTCATAAATGTTACCTTGCTCACAGTCCATCAGCATATTAAATAATAAAAATCACTTGCATCCACTTCTATCTAACATGCTCACACAAACCAGTTGGATATTCAGGCCACTGCCACTCAAAACCTTCCTTACTCACTCCTTCCAACTATTCCTGGAAAGACCCCTACCCTACTCCACCTTGGATTATTCACATGCCCTCCTGGTCATCCTGTTTTGCTTCAGCTTTTCTAAATGTCCAGACTACCCCAACAGCTCCTCCACCAACCACTGAATAATATTTTGGTAACCCCACACCTCATCTCCAAGCACCACATTCTTCCCAAAATATTAGCACTACTCATTGTCTTCAAACACAACTTCTCTACTGCCTCCAATCTCCTCGTAGTGACATTGAGAACTCACGCTTCACACCCATATAACAGTGTCAGTACCACTGTACTCTGGACCCTGTGGAACTATTAGAATGAATAGAAGGAATCAGTCTGAGGTGAAAGACCTAGAATTAGGACAGTTGAGTGATAGTGGTGTTGAAGGTGAGTACTGTACCTGATAACAGTTGTGACAGGTGTAGGGATACAGTATTTGAGATTAACTGTTGATTTAAGTTGACAGCTGGCTGTGTTGTTGGAGATAGGTTATAGCCTGGCTATATGCAGTATCTTTCTTTAAACTATGGATTTCACATTCTAGTGTGAAAAATGGCACTAACAAGAATAACAAACAACTCAGAACGTTTAATACAATGAGATGGAGTTCCCTGGCAGGGGGGATCATTATGGTTCACGTCATTAAAGATGGGTCATATTTTGAGTGATGTAAAGGTACATTGCAAGCTATACATAGCACTAACTTTTATGACATTTTAAGAATTTGTATAGAGTTGTGTAACAGTCTATACATGACCCACTAAGTATTCTGTTGTAGGGAGTTCATGGGAGTCAAATATAAACTTAGTGACACTTCAGATAGTACGGTCAGTTCCCATGACATCAGTTGTGAATGCACAATCCCCCATTTTGCAAAGGTGGCTACCATTGTGGGTTGGAATATATTATATTTGTTTATACACAAACAACTCGCACATAGGAGAGAGAGGCTTTTGATGACATTTTGGTCTGGTTTGGACTATTTACAAGTCACAGTAACACGAGAGTAATGGAGCCAGTATATATAGGTGAGGGGAACAGGGATGGGACGATGAAAGGAAGAAGAAAGTGGTAATGATAGTAGGAAGTAGGGGAAGTAGTTTAGTGGCACGAGAGATAGAAAGAGTAGTGAAGGGAGGCAGTAGTAGTGGTAGTTGTAGTAGTAATGGAGTGATAGTCATAGTAGTAGTAGAAGTGGGGTAAGTCTAAAGATGAGAAATGAGCGCTGCAGGATAACTAAGGGTCCACAATTGGTAGGACTAAAATATGGGATGGGGGGGAGGTGACAGACAAAACACACTTAGGCAGAAGTAAGGAAAACAAAGAAAGAAATAAGGAAAAAGTAGGAAAGGAGAAGAGGTAGGGAGAGGAGAAGAAAGGATCAGGTCAAGTCATGAGTGTTTTGAAAGTAAGTTTGGAGCATTTGACAATGTGATGAGAAAGGAAGGCATCTACAGAGACAAAGGCAAGACTGAGATTCATATTTAGAAAGCTGTGTAAAAGGGATGCTTCATCAAGATGGCATCTGTAAAGACTAGAAGTAGGGTAGACAGTTTGGCAGAGGACCAGTCTATATGATGACTGATCACTAACATGACAGAAAAGAGCAAGAAATATCAGTGTTAAACTACAGCTCTTATGTTTTGTTTACATATTGATTAAGCTAAAAAAAAAAATTGAAAATGGTAAAAAAAAAAAAAAAATGAGCAAACATTGTGATGTACTTATTAGAAACTGTTTCAATCCTGGGACCTTAATCACTTCTAACACTCACAGGTTGAAAATAAGTATAAAGGCAGAAAGTGAGGTGAGTGACACAGTGACTTCAAAAATGCAAGTGAGACTTACTTGAAATGAGGTCAGGTAGACAGTGATTCCTGTATTGTTACAGTACAATACAATTTTTATTTCTTTGCAAAGGTTATGTGTGATTTCCATTTTATAAACTGTTGTTCAGCACAAAGAAAGCCACTAACATGCCAAAACATTTTGGGCAGTTAGGTACATTGGGCCTTGCCTGGTTGAGTATCAAGGCCCAACATACCTAATTGCACAGGAATCATGTGACCTCATTGTCTACCTGATCTCATCTCAGATAAGTCACCCTTGCATTTTTCAGGTTACTGTGTTACTCTCATGTCACTTTTTGCCTACATAGTATACTGTTATTTGCAACCTCTGTGTGTTAGAAGTGATCAAGGTCCCAGGACCAGAAAGCTTTCTAATAAATATGTCCTAGTATTTGTTCACATGTCTTTTTAAACCAATTTGTCAATATCAGTTACCAAGGTTTATAACAAATTTAAAGTGCTTAAAAAAATAAATTCCTTTTAGTAAAGAAAATGTCATCTCGAATATGATTTATTTGCCTGATAAAGTGACCTCGGTATCTATTCCTTCTTGTTTTTAACTTATTAATTTATTACTTTCAGAATATTTCCAACCCAACAGTGTCTTCAGACAGTAGCAACTCTTCAGATGCTGGGGAAAAAATGCTCATCACTATTCCAGACCAGTCTGTTGATCCACTTCACATCTCCACTGATGACGTGCCTACCAACGTTCCTCAACCACAGTGATCTTTTAGGTTGTGTCATTTTGTAACTAATAATTATCAAGATTGTCCTCCCTAAGCAACATTGCATGACTAGATACTGGCAATAGCCGGCCTTATTTTAAATTGTTTTCTCAGTGTAAGTGTTATCCACAACACAAAATAGTCCAAAGTAATTCTCTAGCATCTGGTTCAAGTGTTGTTCTGGATCTTTTAACACTTAATGGTGTAGAAGTCTGCAGATGAATTGTTTGGGGAAAATTATGAATACATCATCCTGTAATGACTGCAGGAAATGGTACTTGTGATAGATTAAAATATGGATAAGGTGTGCAATGATTTCCTGATCTCATTCATCTCCAAGATGATTATGATCACAGTGGAATAATTGTCAATGTATTTATGAAATACAATATGTATATATTTTGTATCAGATTTGAAACTAAATAAGAATAATTTTTTAATTATTTATCAGGAATGGGATGTATCCCAGTTATCAAATATACCATTAATTAAATGCGTGATATACTTATATTTAGAAGTTCACCATAATGGTGTTGAGTGATTACTGAAAATTGTTTAATAGCAGGCCTCTGTTGTAATCTGAATCATTAACAAATAGTAATATATGATGTTGTATTATCCAAAGTGAATGTTGCATAAAATCTGAGGATGCTAGCATAGCACCCTTCCAACACTGCCCATAATGACCAATGATTTTAGCATGTTAGCTATCATTACCTGTGTCTATGTAAGTCTGCGCACAGCTTTGCTCAATTCAGAGGACAGCGCTGAATGACCCACATGGGTTTAGCGTCTCTTAGTAAATATTATAATAATAATAATCTAGGCCAAGAGTCATTCGTAAAAAGTTTGTCTTATTACACAGATGTTCCTTAATTTTCAAAAAACTATAAAAAGTTACCAGTAATGTCATAGTGTGATTTTTCTTCTGGGACTTTTAGCAATATCTACTCCAGTAGAATGTCAGATATTTTATATTTCACTTTTTATAATAAATTCAACATCACTACATTACACAACAGAATATTAAGCCTATCTTTGACAATCATTTTGTTTTTATCTGAATTATAATGATTGTGAAATTTAAATAATACTATGTCTACTATTTTTATAAAAGCAAAGACAGCAATTGAATGAATGATGAGTCACCCTTCCTTGGTGGGAGATGGCTGTTGCAGTAAAAAAAAGGCCAAGAGGCAGATGTTGCAAATGTATGGAATGGGAGGTAGGTTACTACAAGTTTTTATTCAAAAAGTGAGGCTCAGGTTATGTAGGAGGGAGGGGATGACTTTTCCAATGGAAGAGGACTTGGACAGGGATGTGTGATGTCTCCATAATTGTTTTAACATATTTATAAATGGGATTGTGAAAAGTGAATGATAGGGTGTTAGGTAGAACTCTGGGATTAAAAGATGTTAGGCCTGATAAAAAGTGAGAGCTTTCACAGTTGCCCTTTGCTGATGACACTTCTTTTGGAGGACTGTGAAGACAAGTTGCAAAGATTAGTGGATGAATTTGGGAAGGTACATTATATAAAAGGAAATTAAAAGTGAACATAGAAAAGATCAAGGTAATGAGGGTAACAGAAAATCTAGGCAGTGATAGGTTATCAGATTGGAAGGGAAGGAGGTTAAATAACAGAGTGGAGAGAGGGAAGTACATGAATCTAGTACAAAATGGGAGTTATTACAGTTGCACTTTCCTGATGATGCAGTTCTTTCGGTGGAGGATTCTAAAAACAAGTTACAAAGGTTGATGGATGAATTTGGGAGGGTATGTAAAAAGGAAATTAAAAGTGAACATATAAAAGAGGAAGGTGATGAGAACAAAAAGTTTTGGTAATGATAGATTAAATATTGAAGTGGAGGGAAGAGGTATGGAAGAAATGAATGCATTTAGCTATCTGGGAGTAGACATATCAGCAGATGGGTCTATTAAGAATGAGGTGACCCATAGAATAGATGAAGGAAAAAGGGTAGGTGGAGTGTCAAGGCATCTGTGAAAAGAAAAGTTTATGGAAGCAAGAGGAATGTAACTGAGTACAGTGATACCAACACTTATGGGTGTAAAGCATGAGTTTTGAATGCTACAGTAAGGAGGAGGTTAGATGAAGTGGAGATGCAGTATTTGAGAGTAGTGTGTAATGCAATTAAATAATTGGCATAGAAATTAAATTAAAAGCCCTAGTGAAACATTAGAGTATAATCTGGAGTGAGGTGAAGTAAGGCACAGTGTAAGTGGGAAAGAGTTTAATAGATTAGCATGCCGCTTTAGATAAGGCGGCGTGTGGGTGGGTTTTGTTAGGGTGGATTATTGGGACATTAGTAAGGGTCTTTTGGGACAGAGTGAGGGAGTTTTTAAATTTGAGTGAAATTAAGGGATAGAGGTTATCTCTCCCGGATGGCTTTGAATGGTTATGGGGAAGAATTTGAGTTACTATGGGATTAGAGGAATAGCAAGAATTGTAGAAGAAAATAGAGAAAACCAATGGTAAAAGTGTTCATTATGGATGTGACCTTTGGTAGTAGAGTAGCAAGGTAACTTATTTATGAAGGAAAAAGGACAAGCATCTAACATGGTAACTTAGTTTCGTCACTACTGGAGGAGGTAAGAGGCATTGCCAGCCAGACATACACAGGGATACAGTTGAGAATTTAAAATCTAGATTTGTGGTTTTGAATCTCAGTTGGTCGCAGTATGTCTCTTTCTTTGAAAATTTAAAAAAAATTATATGATTAGAGTATTGAAGATGGGACACCATAGGCATATCCCTGCTCCTGTAGCTACAAATAGGTAATTACATATATGCATACACATCCATATACACACACACCTATCTTAATTGGTTGCACTATAGTGTATATATTATTCACCAGCATCAAAAGCTCCAACAAAAAAAAAATATCAGTGGGTAGGAAGGTGCATTATTGTGCCAGACCTCATGTATTGTGATATTCTAGCAAGACTAATATGACATTCCAGTAGGGGTTTAGCAAGTGTAAGGATTAATGGCCTTTTTGTCTTGTTGCAATGTTAAGTTCTTGGCACTGTATATTAATCATGTAATTATCTCTTATGTTTAAAATGCCTTTTCATTTTAATATAAACCACTTATTTTTCTTAGTGATTCAGGTTTTAATGTAACAATGTTTGTGCTCAATAAGAGGTGATGCTAGAATTTTTATTGAACCACTTGTACCACGTTAATGTTACAATATTCCATTTTTTTATTATATTAGTTTTCCTTTCTTTCACCATGGAAATACGAGAATGATTACGTCTTGGGTGTATCCCACAGCATATCGTTGCCTCTGATGTATGTTGTGCTTTGACCAAACTCAGCAGTACAGACATTCAGATATTTATGTACAATACAAGTTTCATTTTAGCTCATCATTAGTTAAGTTTTCATTTTAAAAGCAAAACCCTTCTATATGTGAGCACCAACACTGGACTATTATCTGCAAAGTTTAGTACAATATTCTCCAATTATTAGAACTAAATTCAAGTTTAGGCTGAAATTGGACAAAGGACACCAGTTAAGAGGCAGTTGTCTCAGTAAGTGTCTTCCTAGTCATATGACTGCATCATCTCTGTTATTATTGTATATAATGAAGTGAATTATTTATTTCTTGTATATACATTTGTCTTTTTACATTTTTATAAATCTGATATGTGCAGTTGTAATGCACAATATTTCTGTATGTAACTCCAATCATTGTGAATAGTGTGGTACCTGAACTAGTTGATACTGGTTTTTGTGCTTCTTTTGGTTCAGGTATTTAAATGTTAATCTAAAAGACAGTTTAATAAATCCAGACAGCTCATTCATAGCAGTAGGAACATTATTTTCAAAAAACTATAGGTAATAGGTGCCTTGCCATATTTTGTCACTAAAATAACATGTTATACTGACCAGACTGCACAAAGTTTATCATATTTAGTTCTGTGTTTTATTAGAATCCTCTTAAGCAAAAAATGCCCTATACAGTGTGTTGACTCACGTTATTTAGTATTGTGATACATACAGTGTTAAAGAAGAACTTCAGTAAACCCTAAACATCACTGAAGTGATAAGAAGTTCAGTGGCAAGAATGTTTGACTTGTAACTCAGATTTGAACTAAAGGCCAATGAAGTGTATGAGAAAATTTCCCTTACACACCTACTTTCCTTGCCCCCCTCATAAAAATATATTAGAATACCTATGTGCTAGCCAGCCACCTGTTATGGGTCACATCTCGGGTAACAATCCAGTGATCCATCGAGAGTCCATCTAGTAGGGCTTCTAATGATGAAAGTTGTGTCTGTTCTCCCCTACTGCTGTGTGCCAAAGCTCTCCTACCTATGGCTGCTTCTTGCTCTCTTTTTCTTGATCATTTCCGGTCACATGCTCGTGCCATCACTGTTTGTACAGATGGTTCTGAATCTTCTGACTGTTGGGTTCGTGGCAGTGTTCCCTGATCATGTTCTCTGGGGTCATTTGTTAGACTCGGCTATCATTTTTACCACAGAGTTGTATGCCATCCTCATAGCACTTCTCCACATTATACATGTGTCTCCTTTGGCGTTTGTGATCATTTCAGATTCCCTCAGCGTTTACAGTCCATTAAACAGTTTGATTCCCCTCATCCATTGGTTCTTCATATTCATCTTTGGTTGTGCCATGTTGCTACCAAAAACAAAGACGTCGTTTTCTGTTGGATCTCTAGACGCATTGATGTGAGGGACAGTGAACAGCCAGATGCAGCTGCGTGGCCAGCAGTGCGTGATCTTCCAGTTTCCTATAGAGGTATTCCGTTCAGGGATTATTTTACCATCATCTCTACCCATCTTTGCGGCCATTGGCAACAACAGTGGTTGGACATGCACTATAACATATTGTACTCGATTAAACCGCTTCTGGGTTTGTGGCCATCTTACCACCATTGCCATACTCGAGAGACCATGCTCTCCCATCTCCACATTGGCCATACTCGCCTTACCCATGGGCATCTCATGGAACAACACTCTAACTCTCTCTGTGAGGTTTGTCAGGTCCCTATTATGGTTCTTCACTTTATTGTGGATTGTCCAGTTTACCAGCAAGCTCGCAGGATTTACCTCCACCACCGCCGCCACCCTACCACTGTCCTTATCTTCCCTTCTTGCAGACAGCCCTGCCTTTGGCTTACAATCACTTCTTGACTTCGTGCAGTAAAGCAACTGCTTTACTATATGAACTTTGACACATAGCCCCTGACGTCCCTTCCAGCCTTTTTCTCCCCTCTCCACCTAGCTGTTTATAGCCCAGGCACTGTTTTCTGCCCCTCATCGCTGCTTGACCCTAGTCGGTTTAGCCCTCTTCAAGGGGGGCTCCTTGGCGTGGTGAAGAGGCTCTTGGTCTGAGGAATTAGCCCTGTCGGTCTTCTTCCTCAGACCGAACCTAATTACCCCCCATTCTCCCCTCCCCTATCCCATCCTCCCCTTTTTCCATTCCTCCTCCTCCTCCTCACCCCTCCCTTTTGGCCTTTGGGATTTCTCCCACAGGCGCGCTAGTTCCTAGGTAGGGGAAAGGACACCGGGGTCCATCCCATTCCGTTGAGGTTCTTGGCGGTGGCGTAGTTTGCCGTGGAATCTGGATTGCCTGGGGATGTCCCGATCCCTCTCCGGTATCCCGGAGTAGCTTTGGGTGTCTTTCGGGCGACGGGTGTATCTCTGGAAGCCACCTTTCGGATTCCGGGGGTGGTGGCCGAAGGAGGTATGCTTTGTGGCGGATATCCGGCCGCCCTCTCTTTTGTCCACCAAGGTAGCTCGGCAGATGTGAGGTTGCTATCCCGGATTGCTGGTTTACTGGCATGAAGGGTAGGGTATGGCATGGGTTCCATGCTGCATCTGCGCTACTAGCGGTGTTGAGGTCCTCTTGGGCGCGGAGGGAGATTTCCGGCCCTTTCATTCCTCCTGGGAACTATTCCTCCCCGCTCCCCCCTTTTTTTATTCTTTTTTTTATTTTTATTTTCTTTTCTTCTTTCTTTTTTTTTCTTAAAAACAAAAAGCAAAGGAGTAACCTAACCATGGCAGCCCTAGTCCATGAACCCACTACCCCCGGGCCCCTTCTTGATACCGCACCCCATTCTGACCCTGCCTTGTGTTTAGACCACTCTTCGGACACTCCTGATGCCCCTGTAACTCTTGCTGGTGCTGTTTCCTCACCCGCTTCAGGTACCGGGGCTTCGACTGACTCCTTCGATTTGTCTGAACTCCGCTCTCCTTTGACTATGCTTCCGGCTTCTCCCTCTACGGTACGGCAATTTTCGAATCGCCCGCCCATTTCACGCCAGACCAACTCCGGTCCTACTCCTAAACGCCAACGTCAATCTCCTGATGATGCTCCTTCGTTACCTTCCCATTCTACTCGGAAAAGATCGACACGTCAAGCACTCCCTCTCCACGCTCAGTTTCGGACCACACAATGGACTAAATTCTTTACTTTAAGACCGACTTCTTCTTCTGCCTACCTTTCTGACCATAGTATTGGCAAAGCGCTCCTGCGTCAAGTTGGCAGAGATATTTCATTTCATGCTCTCAAGAGCGGTACGCGCATCGTCACTGTCCAGAATGCTACCCAACCATGACTGTAGCCTGTGCTAGGCTTCTTTGATTAAAAATTAACCAGCTCATGATCTTCTCTCCTTTCGAATATCGATACTACTCCTATCACTATTGAAAACATCTTTCTCTCAATTCTTGTAGTGGTACTGTCTTTCTGCCCCATACCATAGTCCAACAGAATTTCCAGTCATGTGGCAATGACATTTTTGAACAGCTGGAACTCCAGGATCTCACAATCCTCAAAGTAGACACTTATGTCCTTCCTGCCCGGGGGCGGAGACGTTACCCTTGCAATGTGGCTCGTTTAACTTTTGACAGCCGAGAACTCCCGTCCTCTGTATATGTCGCGGGACATCGGTTACAAGTTCGAAAGGTGATACCTACACCACAACAATGTAGAAATTGCTGGCGTTTTGGTCACCCAGCGAAATATTGCAGATCTATGGCCGAATGCCCAGTCTGTGGTGCCGACGACCATTCTAATACATCTTGCAGTCAACCTCCATCTTGCCTTAATTGTAATGAAGCTCACCCTTCGTACTCCCGCCGTTGC